TTACATAAAACCGTACTTCTTAACTTTGAGAACAAAATATAATTTTAATAATCTACAATATAATAAATACGTAACTTATTTTTGTAAAATAATTTGAGTCGTAGAAACTTAACTTGGTACAAACAACTTAATTAAAAAGTTTTCTAACAACTATTTAGGAATAATATTTGGTCTACTTTTTTAGAAGCTGGGCAATTACGTCGCATATTACATAATAATGAAAACAAAATTACACCGTCAAGTCAGTCAAATCTACCAGAGTCCGTTTCATTTCGGTTCGGTCGGTAAGTCGGTTATGGCTGTTGTATTTAAATTGACGACGCGCGCTATCCGTATCCGCTGCTGTAAGTCGGTTCGTATTGGTCTGTCAAGTTTTATTAGGGTCGGTAAAGCATGTCAGGAGCCGCACGCGATTTATGGATGGCGGCATAAACAAGAATTGACAGGCGCGCATGCGCGCAGCGCGATACGAACGAATGCCACGGTAGAACCGGTTTACTAAGACGTTAACCGATTCAACTCGGTCCATGCTCAGACCGGTTTGAACCGGTTTGAAAAGTCGAGTCGTTACATCTCTATAGGTACATTTCAAATAATTGAAATGCAGTTAATTCTCATATTTTTAAGTGGCGACTATTATCACCAAACACTAGAAATACTTAACACCTAAGGGCGAATTAAAAAATCGCTTACTTTAATTTGGTGATGAACCCGGATCCTATTTATATGTACACACATCAAAAGTGTCTAGGGATCAAGCATTTTTATGCGGATTTCTTGAGATTGAGATGTGGCTTTGTAATAAATTTATGATTTTATAAATTTATATGGATCCTTTTTGGTGCATTTCATAATTTGAATCAGGAACTGTGAATCAAATTCGAGTAAAAGATGAAAATCAGCTGTCAATATTTTCCCTATAAAAACATACAACGCATTGAAGACATTATTAGTGCTACTGTTTCCCTACTACTGATTAAAACCAACGTTATTATGGAGCGGCGACGTCATTTAAGCAGGGAAGAAATGCTCAGAGCCGTGGGAATGATAGCAGCTGGTTCCCGGCAACGTACTGTGGCTTTAGCTCTGAATACAAGTCAGAGTGTTATCAGTCGACTTTGGACACGATACCGAAGCACTGGTACCGTGGCTGAGCGCCATGGAGGACGGTATCGCTGCACCACACGGAGACAAGACCGATACATTCAAATCTTAACTCGAAGAGCTCCAACAATAACCGCCATGATGTTAGCCGTGAGGCTTCATCACTCTTCAGGGAACTTAATTAGCGACCAAACAGAAACCGCTTGCATGAAGTGAACCTTCATTCCCGAAGACCGCTACGGGTACCACCTATAGCAATGCACAATCGTAGGATTCGATATCAATGGGCTCTTGAACACAGAAATTGGGCAGAAGAACAATGGCGTTTCGTGTGCTTTTCTGATGAGTCTCGTTTTGGTATGAGACCGGATACAAGACGTATACGACACTGGAGAACCCCTGGACGCCAACAGCGATTAAAATCCTGCCAGGAAGTCCATCCTTATAGTGGTGGAACCATCATGGTATGGGCGGGTATTTGGATCGGCGGAAGAACTGAGTTGATTTGGATCAGAGGCAACCTCAACGCTCAAATTTATGCTGAGACGATTGTATCAGACGTCATCGTTCCTCTACAAGTGCAAATCGGTCCCTTATTTCAGTTAATGCATGATAATGCACGACCGCACACCGCAAGAGTTGTAAGACAGACTCTCGCCGCAGCTAACATCAATGTCCTGCCCTGGCCTGCTCAGTCGCCAGACTTGAACCCGATTGAGCATGCATGGGATATGCTACAGAGAAGAGCTCTGCCGAATATGGAGGGTATCCAGTCGCAAGAAGACCTTTTTTTGTTGTTGCAACGAACATGGGCGGCCATTCCACAGCGTGATTTGGATGAACTCATTTTGAGTATGCCAAACCGATGTTCTTGTGTTGTTAGTGTTCGCGGTAGAAATACGGATTATTAATTGTTAAGTTACCCAATAAAATTTTAGAGAAAACTGTTATTTCAGTCTTTTTTTCGAACTTTTGTGTTAGTGGTTCAAATGTCAAAAATCCCTTTATTAGGAAAATGGCAAATTTCTTTATTAATGCAAAGGTGACTTGGTTTATCGTTACTGTGACAAACGAAAACACTTTATTTGATGAATGCTTAAAGAAAATTTTAATTAATATCAATCAGGAGAAAAGTTATTGCAAAAATATATGTTGATCCCTAGACACTTTTGATGTGTGTATATTCTTCTAGATGAATTGCAATGTCATCCTTTTGGCGCTGCAGCGCTCTGTATCAAATTAAAAATTTCTCGTAGTCTGCATGCACCTAAACGTCATCGCAATAACAAAAGGAAAGGCAGGTACAATAATTGGAAATCTGCGAGTTTCATAATCAGAACATAAAATTATGTAAAACGTCCGTTTGTCACCCTATTATACTTATCACAAGAAAAAATGTTTAGGTACTAGCTGACCCAGCGAACCTTGTACCGCCATAACCTTTCCAATTTTATTGTTTTCGTCTTACGAATTTTCGATTAGGCCACGTGTCTGTGGCGCGATCACACCTGACGGGATCAGGCCACGTGTCATGACGCGATCAGGCCAGGTGTCCTGACGCGAGTTTAACAGTTTTTACCCATTACAAAAATGTGTACAACACCGCTAACGAAGTTTTCACTTCAAAAAGTAACAAAAAATTAAAGAAATGAGCATAACATAGATAGATAACTATTTTACTGCAAGACTGTTCTATTCTAGTGGTCTCGCCATGGTCTACACTACAATGACAAAGCTTATTGCAAGAGGTAAATTACCTGAACCCGCAAATAAGAAAGATGCAGAAGAAAAAGTGACAAACAATAGAGACCTTTATTTGTTGTCTACCTACTTATTCATGATTGAATGCCAAAGCTGAGTTATCGCTGTTAGGAGACTCATAAAATATTCAGTTATTTTGTTTAAATAGACACATCTACCTCATTTCTCGGTTCTAGGAAAAAATAATTTGCAGGCAATATTAATAGAACTTCCAGGAATTGCACATCTGTGTGTTGAAAACTTGCAAAGTTTTGACGGTAATGCATACATATTATAATAATAGATTGGTAGCTAATATCAAAATATGACTAATTTATTAACTAAGTGTATACAAGTTAGTGCTCGTGACTTCATCTTCGTAGATTTATTAATCAAGTGGTATTTCGCGGCAAAAAGTGCTATGTGCTTATCTAAGGACCCATTTTCCTCCAAGTCAAAATTCATCAAAATTCGTTGGCTTTGTGGTTTAGGCGCGAAAGTGTAACAGACAGAAGTACAGAAAAAAACAGATATCGACACAGTTGCTTTAGAATTTTTGATATTAGTATGTAATGTGTCTACAGCTGTATATTTAAATGTTACTTTGACCATCACTCAATAACGACTGCATGAAATTTGAAGTATTTTGGCACAATGATTGTTAATTAACTGGTTTGTGAGTAAATGATACATAGGACTACTTTTTCCAGGAGAAATAATCTAATGTTCCTCTGGTATTCTCAAAATACGAACTAGAGAACTTATGAAGTGGTCCAACAGTAGATTTTCCTGATATTTCCTGGTAAAGTCAACTTTAAAATAAAATAGAGTTCCTTCCTTTTCCTTCATAACTCATAATCATAAATAAGTATATGGAGTCTTTTGATAGAACAAAAATAAACAACATCGTTATCATGTTTTTGTCGAACTAAAAGGGACAGCGTGTCGATAAGAGAACTACCTATTTGGCGAAGGTTCTTAGTTTAAACGGCTGCATGCGTGAGTCATGCCGCGTCGCCTCTTAAGGCAGGTAAGTACAATACTCATTTATATCCGATAACCACCTGGCTTTCCCTAGGTGGAATGTAAGTATTTAAGAACTCACACACTCAATAAAGTACATAAAGAAACTAAGTGTTTTTTTTTTATATAAGTAACAAAGATTATTAAAAAAAGAAATAATTATTTGAAATATAATTTTGCCGTCTTGAAACGTAAGCTTATAAATGTAGAGTTCATAAGCAGGTGAATACTTATTTATAAATAAATTAGATTTGGTACCTACTCAATCTGAAGTTAGTTTGGTATTTCGTACAAACAAAACACCATCGCTACAGTAAACAGCAAACACCACAAGCTTACAAAAAAAGCTAACAATTGTAATCCCAAACCCAAAATGCAGCATTTTGTCAGGTAGAGAAACTGACGAAATGTGGATAGGTAAAAAATTGGGTCGCTCTCACTATTGTAGGCACAAACGTTGGTATACTTTGAGTAACATTTTAGCACCTCTGCACCGTGTTATTGCACACTAAGTCTCATGTAGAGTAAATTGAAGCAATAAATTTTTATTACATCATTAAATAAGTAGGTATTTATAACGTGATACATTGCATTTTAACTGTGCGTGTTATTGAACATTCTAAAAGATAATGCCACCCTAATATCTTTACGAAACAACATCGGCAAGAAAACACTATATTATCTTTAAGATACACATGGGAATAGAGGCAACGAAATAATTGCTGCGACGAGACATTTCTCAACAGCCATTAATCAGTATAAGGACGTTATGCGTAATGTTTTACAAAACAAACATTGCTGTCTACGTAGTAGACTGCTATTGGTCACACAAAATCAATTTTTAATTAGCGTAGGAACTTTAAGAGTACCGTATCCGGAACAAACTACACTGATGTACTTATGTGTGTTACGTATTGTTTTCTGCATGTTTGAATCATCGCTGCATAGTAAAGATTGTAGTTCAGATGTACGTCACGATGATTTGTTTTCATTGAATGCATTTTACGTTGAGGTCACTGAACTCAAAGCATGGACGCACTTACGCCCCCCGCCTATTCACCCCATGCAAATACCACGCTTCAAAACGAAAACATTAACACTAAAATAGTTAGAAATCACATTTTGTCACGTACCTTCCGTTCCACAATCGGCACACACATTATTTCCACTTTTCTTTTGCAACTCCTGTAACAATTTCTCGTTATGATCTACCATCGTGGAACTTTTGCATCAATAATGAAAACACGCTAGGCTAGCGTACGTCGCCACTCGAAAGTCCAACGCTTCGAACGGACGGTCGGGCGCGTTCTCCGACACTGCGCGAGGGAGCGAGCGCGAGCGAGGCTTCGACCGACGCACGACGCGAATCGGTTCAACAAACGCCATTACGTAGTAAAATTCTTCGTCGTTTCACTCGCACGCCCTACACGCCGCTTAGTATGAATGCGATAGAAAGAGAGGTCTAGTTTCGGTACATGAATGAAACGAGTGAGTAGTGGATGCTCGTAAAACTATATTTGTGTGCGTATGGCGTAGTATACGCAATACGGCGCGAATACAAGCGTCGTCTCGCGTAAATACAGCCGTCTAGCTAGCCATACATAATTTTGTTAATATAGGTAGACATAAACGGTACTGAATGTCGATGTAGGCTAGGTCTTTCAGACGAAATGTGCTTGTGAACGTTGCGTAATAACTAAGTACACAATGGTGTCGATTGTGGCATGATTCTCTAAATTTAAAACTAAATTTAACATCAGTCTTTCCTTTTCCTTCTGTATGATAAATGACAAGGATACACTGTTGTTAAATTAAATTTAAGGTTTAGAGAATCATGTCAGAATCGACACCTATATCGCCATAAGACGTACAAGTTAGTATTTGCTTAGTGGGAGGCCAGCGCAGGCCAATAAAAAGCAGATTGGATATAGGTAAATAAATCATGCTGAGAACGAATAAAGAATCCCGACCGTCTGTCTAATTTAAGCTTTGTTACAAAAGTCAACATTCATTCGCTGTCTGAAATTACGTAGGTACCTGTTGTAAAACATTATTGTTTTAACACCACGTGGTCTGTCGCAGTCTCTTTTTATGTAGAGTCGTATTGTAACAGGGGTGTAATATTTATTTTGTGGCAATAACGTCTAATTGCTCTTATCGTTACGTCTAACGTTCCTATATACCTATGTAGGTATCTACATTGATTCCTTTACATTAATATTTGAATTAAACAAAATACCAGCACCGTCATAGTATTTATTTTTCTTTGTGATACAAAAAGGTCATTCGGTGAGTATCAAAAAATCAAAGTACTAATTGACATATCAACCTACATAATATTCTTTTATGTGAACAATTTTTTTAGAAAACAAGTCGAGTCGGTCTCACCCAATGACATCTCAGTCATTTTTCCATGCCACAATATAGAAGAACTAAATTATCACTTGGAAAAGACGATTTCTGATATAATAAACTGGCTTAACGATCACAACTTAAAAAATGGTTGCCTGTAAAGTCGGTTTTACGGGCGAAGATTTTACGTGACAACGTCTTTTTCTCGGTAGAATATTTATTGATATGAATATAATTAAATTGCACAATAGGAACAAGGAATTGAATGAAAATAAGAATTGCACAAATTTTAACTATAGAAATATATTTTGTTTACTAAAACATTGTACATGTAAACTTAAACTTAACACGAGAGACTCATCGTAACGTTACCGAGCGTTACACTTTTTCATAAGTGACTCCCAGCCGCAACCTAATTTAAGACGTTGTCACGTCAAAATTAACTTTACAAAAACAAAATTAATGCAATTCAAACCTTATCAAAAACAACCTTTAAATATATTTTTTTCTTTTAGCGGTCATAATCTAGAATGCGTAAAAAAATATCCTCTTCTAGGTATTGAAATCGATACACATTTAACTTGGAAGGACCATCTGTCAAAACTTAGCTTAAAATTGTCCAGATTTACTTATGCTTTGAACGAGCTCAAAAAAGTCACCAATAAAGAGACTGTATTAAGCGCTTACTATGGATATGCACATGCCTGGCTTCTGTCATGTCTGTTCTATCAATATTTACATTGCAAAAAAGGTGCATTCGAATAATTGCAAATATAGATAACTTGAAAGCTGTAGACCTTATTTCATACAGTACAAGGTATTAACGGTAACATGTATTTATATTTTGGAGGTGTGTAATTATGTTAAAAATCATTTAAAAGAATTTCCTACTTACTCGCGCCCGCATAACTTACGTCCCCATAGCAAATTGGCCCAACCAATATCTAAACTCAAATTGGTCCAAAGTAGCCCTTTTGCAATGTGTATCAAAATATACAACAGATTGCCATTATCTTTAAAAAATGAGAGTTGTCTTACTGTATTTAAAAACAAATTGAAAAAGCTCCTTTGTTCAAAAGGCTACTATACACTGCAGGAGTATTTTAATGACAAAGAATTAAAATGATGATTTTTAGATTTTTATTCTGATATAATTAATTTGATAATATAATTTATTTAATGCAATTTTTATGACATAGAATTTTATTAATTTTAAGATTTTTAATTTTGTAAGATTTTTGATGAGTTTTAAATTTATATTTATTTATTAAAAAAATTAACAAGCTCTTTAAAGCACATTGCTATGCCCTAGCTGGGTTCGTGTAAGGATCTAAATGAACGCTTTGTAACACCTCTGTACAACTACATGAAAAAGCAATAAATATGATTATGATTATGAACCCACCGATGGTTCCGTACTACGAAACAACGACCGTATATTTTTTTCTTTTTTCTCGATACCTCCACTTGTTCCAGAGATAAAGAGTCTTGACAGAAAGACAGACAGATGGATAGACAGACGGACAACAAAGTGATCCTATAAGGGTTCCTTTTTTTCCTTTTATAAGACGGAACCCTAAAATAAAATTTGATAACTTGTAAGCAAGAGAATAATTAAAGCCTGTGCGTCGCAGTACGATTTAAACGCATACGTAGACTCTACAAACTTCATCTGTTCCCTTAGCACGCACCAATATCGAATTCGTATCGAATGCGAGTACGAAATGTCATTGTCAAATATGTACTGATTTTTAGTTCTAGTTACGTACTTTGTGGCGCTGCTGTTCAAGTTTCCATACAAAATTTTACATTGACATTTCGGACTCGCAAACGATTCGAATTCGATATTGGTTCCTGCTAAGGGTACAGGTTTGTGGTACCTACCTGTTTTAGAGCCTCTATGTTTTTCTTTATAATAGGGATGATGACGGGTTGACGGAGTATATTAAAAGAAATTATGTTTATCCTTCAAAAAAAATGGACACTTATTTTTTCTTTTGTCAATTAACCAAAAAGGATACAAAGATAAAGCGCGTCAAAGTATGGTAGTGGGAGCTCGTGACGTCACTTCTAAGTAAAAGTTGTACCAAGACGTGACGTCATGCGGAATTTCAATTACAAATTTAAAACATTACAAGAGATATATTTATCTCTTGTAATGTTTTAAATGTTCTGAATAAAGAAAAATACGTGTCCAAAACTTTTTGCCGATAGTTTGATACCGATTGACGAAGCATCCCTGTAGTAAAATGGGATTTCATCGCACATATATACTTAGATTATATTTATTGTTAGGATAGCTTACGTATTTAAGTAAAGAATCAGGATTATTTCTTGACTTTTAGTTCGGCTACGGCTACCCAGGAACAAAACTGGGCCGGCCGACCGTATGCCGGAAGCTTGGAGAGAAGGCTTTTGTGCCAGACCCTGTCGATAGCCTCACCCCACCCCCGTCGATCGCTTCGGTATAAAACCATACTGACGATCATTAACCAGAGAGTGATCCTCTAGGTAGCGAGTCAGATGGTTTTTAAGGACCTTTTCTAGGACTTTAAATAATACTGAGGTGACTGCTATTGGCCGGTAGTTGGCCAGGTCTGAGCGATGCCCTTTTTTGGGCACCGATTGCACGTTGGCATCTCTCCAAGTCTCCGGCACACGCCCCAAAGAATACGAACTTTGGTACAAGCGCGTGAGCACGGAAGACAACTCTGCTGCACATTTTTAAGTAAATCTGCTGGGATGCCATCAGGTCCACTAGCTTTCCGGACGTCGAGTAACTGGAATTCAGCGCGAGCCTCACGCTGCCTGATTTAATATCAGGCATCGTTATGCCACAATGATCATATCATCACAGACAGTGACCGCAAAGAGAAAAAAATGTGAGCTTAAATATTATTAAGCTCACACCAATAATTACCTCTTGAAGAAAAAAATGACCCACGAAAATGGGTGCTTACAATACATTAGTGGTTATTTCGTAAAAAACGCAAAAAATGTTTTCAAGAGGTGTATTCAATTTAAAAAAGATATGTTAAGTACAGATAAACAAGAATATATAAAGAATAAAGCAATAAAAAATGGCTTTGCAGTCCCAGTCATGCTCTCTTATGCTGTGTATCAAGTCCGCAAGATATCAATTATACCATTCTTAAAACTAATATCGACAAAAAGAACTCGGTGAATTTATTAATATTAATTATATTAATACACGTGGAATTTGTTATTAGCTCTCTGGAATTTGTGGTTAAAAAAGGTACTCTGTGCCATCGCTCAAATCACTTGTGCTTATTATTTTCACTTTGCTGTTGTTCACGAAGTACGGTCGGTCAGCTTGTCAAATCTCAACAGTGAAAGAAAACGCAAAGTAATTCGTAGCGAGATAAGATTTTTTATTTTTAAACTTGTCCCTTGATATCGATGTAGTTACCAACATGTAACTTTTACATAAAGAAACTGAAAAAAAAATACCTATCAATTCAATTTTTTTTACTATTTCCAGGGACGCACCATTATTGCCCGCGTGTACCACTTTCTTCAAGAAGAGTAGGTATAATTTTATGAAAGCGAACAATATGGATAATTGTGATTTGAGTCCTTTTGGCTCTGGAATATACGGAAACGTACCGCTGAATCTACAGGGGTCAGTGAATGAACTGTAACTACAATTTGAATTTATTTCATTTTTTTTATAATTTATTCATGATCATGAATGCAAGACCTTCTGTCGTGTACATAAATACAAATCTTAATCTTTTTTTAGGGTTTCGTAGCCAAATGGCAAAACCGTCCGTATGTCACAGCCACTTTTTTCGAAACTATAAGAACTACACTGTTGAAAATTGTTAAGTAGATGTATTCTGTGAACCGCATTAAGATTTCATCAAAACCCATACGAGTTGGTTATCTATGGATAGGTCTTCAAAATCGATATTGAGGTTTCTAATATCTATTTTTTAGTGGTAATGTCTGT